ATTATAAAATAACAAATTACTACTTTTTAAAGATATTATTTAATCTCGTTTGATAGTGCCAGGTAAGACAATGATTAATTATAGATAAGCACTTTCATTAAATTAAAATAAAAATCATAAATAAAGAGAGAGAAAAAAAAACAAAAAAAAAAAACAAAACAAAAAAAGACCCAATACGATCAATTAAAACTTATGGCAACAAAAGTAAAATATGTTGCCACTATTTACAATAAGCTTTTCTTGAGAGAAATATAAATAACTCCACTTCTATTAGAAAGTAGTGCAAGGTATATAAAATATTGTACAAGATTTGCAAAAAGTCTATATATTGCTATTGTTTACACTATGAAATTTTGCAACTTTGTAGAAATGATTTTCCTACGAAGCATACACATGCACAATAAATATTGCATATTTTCCTTCGGAATTGTATTGATGCGCCTATAGTGGGGCAAAGTCGCTCATTTTTATTAGCTTTATAAAGGGCTATTGAAAGTCGGCCTGAAATTTGTAAAATTTCCCATTTAAATGCCTAAACCATTAGGCTACTGCGAGTCGATTGTCGACAGTTTCAACCATAAACATTCTCGACCGATCAATAACACCCTCGCGTACATTTTTAGCTCGGTTAAAGTGGCAGGAAAAAAATAGGGGGCGGGCGGCATTTCGGCTAAGTGGCGGCTTTTCCATCACCCCGGCGATTTACAAAAAGAGGCAGGCCACACTAGCACTTTTCCCGCGGCGAGAAAAATTCCAGACGCGCGCGCGCCTCCTATGAATCGTCGCCGCCAGTTCGTAGCGCCAAGACTACTCTCCGGGTTAATTACCCCGATGAGTGATAAGATAAAAGCGCGCGCATATGTGTACGCGCGTATACGCGCGTGCGCGATGCCTCCGATGTTCCATCTTCTCGAGGGCATTAAATCGAAGTGACTAAGAAGAGCCGGAAACGCGTGTGAAAGGAAGCGCACTGGGATCACTGCAGGCGCGCCTCGAGTGCGAGCGTACGTGAGCGTGCGAGAGGAGAGAGAAATGCAGATAGAGCGACACCCGGCCTGATAAGTCTAAATCATTGTTTACGTTCCGAGTATTTCTTGCTTTTTAGATGTGATGCATTAATTGCCCATGTACGTGTAAAAAAAAAAAAAATTTATCTCAAGAAATTTACGCCTTAGCGAATGTATTTGAATCGAGTGCCGTAATCCCTTTGTCTTTCTCATTTATTCATGATATAACTTAATGTTTTATACGCATTGTATTCTACTGTATTTCATAAATATACAATATTCTTATCTCACTTTGACAAATGATTTGTAGGCGCATATTCGATTCTCTAGTAAAAGAAGAAAAAAAAACAATAAAAGGAATAATAAAAAAAAAAAAAAAAAAAAAAAAAAAAAAAAAAAAAAAAAAAAAAAAAAAAAAAAAAAAAAAGAAGAAAAAAAGGTAAAATAACATGTTGATGTCACTTGAGTGTGAGTGCATCACTGAATTTTTACTGAAATTTTTATATTTTAAATTTTTATAATCACAGAATAAAATTGTTCACACGTATTTAAAAATCATAAAAAGAAGGAAATAGAGAAAATTTGAATAATTGCATCGACCAATATTTTATAATCTTTTCAACTTTATGATTAAATTTATGTATAAAGTTAAGTATGAAAAAAAAAAAAAAAAATATATATATATATATATCAATTCGCTCTGTAAAAGTAGACGAGATGAGCACATAGAAAGAGACTCGAAGAAGTTTTTAATCCGATTTACTTTATAGTTCGTCAAAACAATTGAAAACATAATACTATAATGTTTCAACGGTAAAATAACGTAATTATTAAATAAGCTTAGTTGATTAGATTTATTACTTAAATATTTTTTTAAACCATAAAATATATTCAATTTTGTACTTTAGCACCGCGTAATAAATATTTAATAATTTTGAATTATTTACTGTTAGAAATCCCGTCACTAACTATACAAAAGAAAAAAAGAAGTCTCAAATCTTCTAACACAGTTGATAATTGTTAAACAAAATAGCGAATATTGTGAAAATAGTGACAATAGTGATTTTCTAATTATATTTATTTATAACCAACAGTGTGCGCGATATGGAAGAATCCTGAGCTTTCTTTTACTTTTTTCTATCAACAAGACAAAAGATAAGCCATTTGTCGATTTCGTGTTTTCGGCTAGCCGTGCCTCTGTCTCCTCCACCCCCCCCCTCCTCTCGCTCTCTCTCTCTCCCCGCCCCTAACCACTTTGAATTAATAATAAAGTAGGTGCGCGTCTTTTTCATAGTAGTATGCGGATTTGCCTCCTTTTGCTTTCAAAAGGAAGGGACGCGGATTACGATTATTACGACCGCAGTAATTATGGTAACCCATTATTAAAGTACGCTTACTTTCAGTGAGACTATGAACCTTTGTGTAGGTTTTAATACAGGACGAATGATAATTTTATATTGTTGCGAATAGAGAGAAGTACGCTTATAGTTGTTACAGGTTATTTAATACGACGCTTTCTATTCTATTCCGTTGATTATCCACAATAGTGAAATGTTTTTTGCCCAAACATTTTATTATATTAAATAAATCGTGGAAATAAATTTATTCGCATGAGAAAATATATTTCGAATATTGATAGACTATACGACGGGAAGTCTGAAGTTCTCCTTGTGATATTAATTTTCACTCTCAAAGCAGAATTAAAAGTTTTCATTATGCTACATAAACGATGTAATACTTCTAATACTTATTGCACTAGAAAAAAATGTATATATATATAATATGAGATAATTTAGAAATGATATAGTTATAATCATGTTAAATATTATAGTGAAAATTGGAATAAAATATGACGTTTTTATTCAAACTTTTCCCTATAAATCACGAGTATATAGGCATAGAGTAGCTAATTTGTATTTCTCATTCAATGCTTTTCTTTCAATTAGCAAACATTTTGTTTCTGAAACTATAAATTCTTAATAGTGCTAGAAAGATGATAGATTTAACTTTGTAGAAAAATAATATTTAAATTAATGATTTTTTTAATTAGAGCATTAATTCCATCTATATCGATTACTTTTGTTGCTCTTTCAACTTTATTAGAGTAATTTGAGATTCGATCGTAATTTTGAGAACATCATAAAGTAATTAAAGTTATAATTGCTTTAATGGCTAAATTATGAAGAAAAATGTTTGCATTAGTGTGTATAAATTAGTTTAACAAAGCATTCTTTAAAAAACAAAATTTTAATTTAATAGGTTTATTTATAAACAAAATTATTAAATTCGAATGCCTAAACGTGCTATTTAATGTTAAATTACAAACTTATGTGGCCAAACTTTTTAATTACAGAAATATGATGTTCAACATACTCGAGCGGCGCTTCTTATCTCTAACGATAAAAATCTTTAAAGGAAAAAATTGGACACGAATTTAGAGGTGTATTTTTATTTGTTTATAATTTTGTTTCTTCTACCTTCTCAATTGCATTACTAATGACTTATCTCAAAGCCTTGGGAGCGTCAGTTTGCCCCCGTATTACTATTTCACCTGCGCATACTCTTAATTATGAAAATACAAAAATTATCATAATCTTGGGATATCTGCATTTCAGACATGATAAAGTTGAAGAGAGATGATAAAGTAGCGTGACTTAATGCTTCGGCATGATTTTTTCATTGGCTGAGAGTGAAGCAGAAATGTATGGAAAAATTTTCATGTAAAACCACTGGTTTTATGGCGCTCGGGACACGCAAACATATTTTAAATGTATAAATTTTACTTAATACAAAATAACTGCACGATATAAATATAAATTGTAATTTAAACTGTTTTAAAAGTAAAATGGATTCTTTTTTTTTTTTTTTATAATATTGTATTTTTTATTTTTTATTTATTTATTTATTTATTTATTTTTTCAATAGCTCCTCCTTTACCATCGTTTCAGCTTTTTATTCATTATATTTTCAATCAAGTTAACAATGCATTAATAGTATTATTTATAAATATCAGTTGAACGTGAGAGAGCATTTCTAAATATTTTAATAATGTAATAATGTTAATAACATTTTATCACGTGAAAGGGCGCGATTGGAAGGATTAGTAGATTGTTGAAATATTTGGAAATGCCTATAAATCAGCAATATTTAATGAGTATTAAATACGAAAGAAAATGAGCAATTATGTGAAATATTACTCAACGCAGAGCCATTTATTTATATGCATTAATAAAATAACTTTATATAATGATTATAATTCTCTATTAAAGAACTTATGTCTAAATTATGTTCGTTTATTGGAAGGAGATGGCAGATGTCGCAGTTCGTTTAAAAAGCAAAAAATAATAAATTGCAAGGCGACTCGATTGTATTATAAAAGAGTCACGCAATGCCGATAAGAGAGAGATAGAGATAGAGATAGATATATATATATATATATATATATATAGAGATAGAGATATATAGAGAGAGAGAGACATAGAGACATAGAGAGAGAGAGAGAGAGAGAGAGAGAGAGAGAGAAGAATTAAGCAATTGTGAAGCATTCGAAATAACATTCGATCATTGGCACGATTGGCCTATTGGCTGAAGCTACTACGAGTACGTCACGGAATAAACAATATTCGTGGATTTTTTACGTCGATCGGTGCTGTGCCTATGAAAGTCAGGCGCTGGTCAAGTCCTCTCGACCCATCTTCTACATCTATAAGCTCTACAAATCATTACTCAAATCGACTTAAAGAGTCGCTCCGGTAAGTTTACTATTATAAGCGGTGCTCGTTGCGAAGCTGAGTAGGGGCAAGTTAATATTTTACTTAACAGAGAAGGGTCGTTTGAACAAAGGTAAATCATCGCTCGTTCGATAGGTGAAGTAGCCGCTCGACGCTACGAACCAACCCGAGCGCCAGTTAAAGCCCCGTAACCATAGCCGCCGTTCTCCAAACATCGGCTCGAGCTCGTATGTGTGCGCTGCTGCAGCAAAGCGGAACTTACCGGCAAGGACTCCGGCCATGTAAACAGCGGCGATCCTGAGGCTCCCATGCACCATTTCTAGCGGCAGGCCCACGACCACCTGTACCCCGAGGTTGAACAGCAGGTGAAGCCATCTGGAACAGAGAAAATGGGACACGTCAGACACGCTCGTTATCTTTACACCTCCGCGGGCCCCGGCCATGGCCGTCTCGCCTCTTTCGCTCTCGCCTCCGCCTAAGCGCTAAATTATAATCGCATCTCGTGCATCTTATCGCGCGGTGGCTCTCCCAAGATCGAGATTCGATAGCTCGGGGGGCCCGTGCATCCACCCCCATCGGGCCGCCTACGCCTAAAGAACGACGGAGCTATTAGCGGGAGGGATAAGGAGGGGGTGGTGGGGGGTGGGGG